TTCTCTACCTGGCACAGAATCTGAAGCTTATTCCTTTCGTCACAGAGGTTTAGGTGGACAGGTAGTTAAGGTGGCGGAATAGGACGTAACAAGGACGACATGGAAGAAATATAACAACTGCACATGATTCTGCTGACTCCGTGACTCCGACGCTGTGACTCCCTCAAACCTCATTTGAATGATCTTATGAAACTTTTAATGAGAGATTGCACTATTGATTTATTGTTTGTGTCCAAAACGTCCGCTTTATTTGTTGAGGCTTGCTTTTGGCGTGAAAATCCTTTTGCCAGTTAGAAAAACGAAGGTATGCGTGTCCCCTCTGGGTGTGATGAGATTCATGCGTTAACATAATGAGGTCATCGGACGAGACGCGCTATAACGTCATGCCTACCATCTTAATGGGAGAATTAAGAACATTTAAAACATAAGTAAAAAATGACCAACTATGCACGTCAACGGGAGGATTGCGTTTTCTAGGATCAGAAAATTGAAGTTCTTATTTGAACGTTCGACAAGTAAAATGTTGATCTGTGATGTGAACTCTTGATCCCGAAGGGGCTTCATTGTCATAGTGAAGAGATTTGCAGTATCTCATGGTGAAGCCATGGACTACTGCAAACCTTATTTGGCCCATCTCAACAGAAGGGTGCTGAAGCGATGCAGCGTGCGCGAAGAGCTCTAATGGGATCGCGCGTGTATCGCGAGCCCCCCTCCCCCTGAAGGACTTAGCAATCTTCTGCATTTTCTAACACTGCACTCTCTGCTGAAATCGGTAGTGAAGTGCACACGATCGGTATGGCCACGAAGCTTCTGCTTGACAATCCGCCACATCGACAACATCGTTAATTCCTAGTCAGTTCCCTTCCTTTTTGTTGGTCAGGATCACGATCGCTACGCAAACGAACTTTTCCAGTAAACCGATCTTTGGAAATTACAGCAACAATAAACAACAACAGCAACAACAGCAACAACAAAAACAACAACGAACAACAACGAAAATCAAATCGACGACAACAACAACGACAAACATCAGCAACACTACTAACAAACAAACAAAACACTACTACTACTACTACTACTACCACTACTACTGCTTCTACTACGACTACTACTCTTCTTCTTCTTCTTCTTCTCAATTATTGATTCTTAATTCTCTTAGTTCTCAATTCGCAATTCTTGATCCTTAGTTCTCATTTCTTAATTCTTAGTTCTTGATACTCAATCCTTCATTCTTAATCCTTAAACGATTCTTCATCTTTCCTTGGGTATCCTACGTGCAACTTCAATCTTTTTTGAGAAATAAGACGTGCTCAATGCGAGAGCCCTACTCCGTTACTGCCAACCTGGGTCAGGCCTAACGGTTGTACCGATTCTATTTTTGCAACCTTTGCAAGGCATGAATTTGCCTCGTTAGGGATGAACTTAGTGGACTCGCGTTAGGGACTCGCGCTTTTTCCGATTGCAGACATGAGTCGACACTCTTACGAACTCGGTTACCCCTCCCTAGGCAAGTAATCAACTTACGCCTGCGGAGATGCCGTTAAACGCAAAAAAAGCGGCAATCCGTTCATTGGTAGGATAGTCTCGCAGAACTAATACCGAGAGTTTAGATTCTCTATCGCATTTTTTGTCCTCTTTCGCGACTGATCATTTTACGAAGGTGTAGGGTTAATTTGAAATTCATTCTGCTCAACTGCATCTAGACTTGTGACAAATATGAGATCTTTCGCTCTGATCGTCCCAAGTTTGAAGTGCTTGTTGCGAATAGCTTCATAGCTCCATGGAAATCGCTTTTATGACTATCGAATCCAAGATCTCGAAATAAGGTGGTGTTACCAAATCTTCTTAAAGTGGTTGGACTACACCGTTCATTGCGAAGTATGCATAGCCTGCTGCAAGCTTGATGATGTGAAAAGCTGTGCTTGTTGCAAAAGTACGTAAACCTTTGTTTGCGTTCAGTTCCAACAATTGAAAACGACTAGTAAGACAATGAATATGAAAGTGAATTGTCGCAAAGACAGAAAACTTACCACCAAAGCAGTGGAAGTTAAGAATGGACGTATACATTGACGGCTTGAATAGAGGTCATAGCCTGCTTCGACTTTTGTAGCGACAGCTTATCACATGTTTAAGCTTATGTAACCAAAAACCTCTCGACAGCGATTCTTGAGGTACAACTTACAAAAACAACTGAGTGTGAAAAATCAAAGCCAAAGATTCCAGCCTTGGTAAATGCCATGCAGTACTTGAGCAATTTCAAACACTTTCCAAGCGTTCGTTAAGAAATAAAAAAGAATGGCCCCGGACTTCCACAACTTCCCCCCTTCAACCGCTAAGCCACCGCTTCACTAATGCGCAGGGCTCAACATCATGAGATACTGCTGCCACCCATTCTTCACAGGATGGATGTCTCGCGGAAAATGCAATTAAGACTTTGCTCGGAGAGTTTTTTCGCTTTCGCAAATTTTCAAAGCAAATTTAAGATGAGCATCTACGAACGCGTCTATATTATCTGCTGAATAATTTCATCGTTGAAAAATAATTAAGATGTTCAGTCCTGCTCGGGATGATTCTGATCTAAGCTCGAAGATCACTGTCTATATTTGGGATCTTTTTCTGAAAGTATACCGATCGAATTTATCCGACAAATATTCAGAACTTCACTGAGTTCCGTGTACGCACAAACAGGAATCTTAACATAGTATAATTGTTCTTACAAGGGAAGGGTACTTGGTCGCAATGGCCATTCAAGATGAGATGTATGCCTCCGTGGGTGGTTTCGAAAGCTGATCACGAATCCAAAACCTGCTAAACGATTATGGGAACAAAGTTACGGGACCGATGCCTCCCCTGTGTTATGCCACTGTACCGAACGGATCACCGAGCCAAGCAAACCCAGTATGCAGCGGTGGCGCAGCTGATTGGGCGGTGGACTGGTAGGAATGACGCCGAGGTTCGGTTTGGTGCATGTTCTCGTTTTAGTTTTCCATGGAATGGCCCTGTACGCTTGCAAAACTTTTCTAGGCTTAATGTTAGGCATTTACGAGGCTCCTACGAACTTTAGGAACACTGAAAAGGCATTACAAGACGTTCAAAATGGGCTCAATAGGCTTCGAGCAAAAGGGTCCCGAATGATCCATTGGTCGAACGCTTTTCAACATGTTACCAGCAAATCTTCTGAGTGAATGTGGTGTATCATATTTTATGGAGGACTTTCGTTCTTACGGCATACCTTGGGCACCATCTAGGAAGAGGCGGTAATTAAGAATTTTGAACCGTACTTCTCGATGCTATGGAAATAAGCACGATATCCTTCGCGAGGAAGTCGAGTCCGTGAAAGGTGAGCACAATGATTCTCTGCACTTCGCCTGACGAGGACAGCATTGATGGACCCATAACTTCGCGAAAGAAACCTCGCACGTTTGCGGGGATATAAAGGTTCCGAAGCAAAACGTAGCCTCCAGGTTTGTGCCCTAGCTCATTAGCTCCAATTTTATGGCGCTGGTAGAAACGTCCATAGCCCCCTATAGTTCGAGTTTCAAAAGATGCTGCACCCCTCGAGCATGTGGAACACGTTTTGCATCATCACGACAGAGCGCCGTCTACGGAATTTAGGAGGGCATTAGCTTTCGAGTCAGTCTATTGTTGACAACTAACGATGTCGTATAAGGTCGCAACTATCAGGCGCGAAACAAGCGGACTGATCTGCCTACCTATGGAGATCAGTGGATAAGTTGATGGGATAAAATCGACGTAGGAGTCGCACTGCACGACAGTCATTTCCACTGAATACCGCTTCAAATCAACAATGAAGACCTATAGGGAACAATTTCAAAGCAAGTCGTAGGTGGATTCAGGGTTTGAATACAGTCGTGATATCATGCCCCATCGCACCACCACGTCTACCTCGTGAAGGGGCTTCCCGAGAGGGCATTCACCTCAGGAATAGAATTAGCGGATAATCATACGCGCACACAGAGCAATAAACTATTGTTCTACGGTATTTTTTCAACAATGACAGTTAACTTGTACCACCGCTTCGAAAACGCGGACAGTACTCGTATAATGTGTGGATCGTATCCCCTCCCCCCCAGAAAGGGCTGTAATCGGGTGAGTCATTTGACCGCCGTCTACCGTTAGTGTAGGGAGCTGCCAAAAATTTCAAAGCGCTATCGTGATGTTCGGAGTCGGGAGACATACATGTATATTCGGTCAGTAGTGATGAAATTTTCTATCGAATCACTATTCCCCGAAACCCTAAATTGTGAGGGAGCTCCGTAGATGCCCAATATTAAGCCCAAAAACGTATTGCAACGGTTTGGGAGGCAATTCATAGATAAGCAAAACGAGCACATGCATCAAGGAACAGAACATTGATGTCGTGCCTACCAGACCCTGTCCTATCAACTGCGCCACCGCCGCACACTATGTTTGCTCGGCTCGGTGATCCGTTCGGTGCAGTGGTATAACACAGGGAGGCATCGGTCTCGCAACTTTGTTCCCAGAAACTTTTAGCAGATTTGGAACACAGATTCGAGATCAGCATTCGAAACCACTTACCAATGTATACATTTCATCTTGAATGGCCACTGCAACCAAGTATCCTTCCATTGTTAGTCTTGTGCATGCTCAGTAGTTCGTACGCGCATGTCAGATTCATAGATCAGGTACGCCACAATTACTGTATATTGAGACAGGCAAAGTAACTATGATTCATTCAGTAATTCAAGCATTTTTTTGCAAATGTATTATCCGAGCCCTCAACACTACTAGGTGTTTGTCGCAGAAATTAAGCCTTCACACATGGTTATGAATTGTCAAATCCTATAAAATTATAAAATAGTGACCAAAGGCTCTTCTTTCCAGTAGCACGCTCAGAAACATGTACTTTGCTCAGACTGTGGTTGGTAAGAGAGCGACATCTTTCCATCTAAGGAACCGGAGACATTGGTGGAGACTAAATTTCTCTCCCAACACGCCTTAAAACCATACCTGATATCATGGGTTTTTGTTTGGATTTCGTTGATCCTTTTCTGAGCGCGAGGATCACGTTGGTTGAATGGCTCTACATGAGTGTTAGCCTCATGCTGTGTACGAGTCATTGCTGTGTAGTGAATTGAGTCAATATAAAAAAGTAGACATGGGAACTATAAATTACAACTAACTTTCATCTCTTAACTGATGTGTGAACCTGTTCGGAGACGGAACGTTGTGCACAGTCTTGTAGGGTGCATAAGGAGAGAACCATTCTCTGAAGCAAATATTTCGCCCGATCGTCGAGTAACTTTGAGCATTTATACAAGTCACTGGAATGAAGCAGTTCGAAGCACTGCGACTCACTCTGATATTTCTTCCGTTTTTTTGCACAAGCCTTGTTTCGAAGCGGTAGTGATTGCGGAAGTGTTATCGTTTGCCTCCATTACAGCCACGGGCGTTGTTGTGGCATACTGGTGAATCAGTTCACGAGGATTCGTGATCAAATATCCAGTCTTGGTATCGAAGCGGCAAATTGAATCAGAAAACATCGACGAAGCTGCTTAACATTTACTTCGTTGAGCTCACATTGAGCCTCAAAGTGGGCTTCGTTTCTGACCGAAATTCAAACGTGCAATAGTTCTGATTTTTATTAGCAGTTATGATTTACGCCCTCCTTATCGCAAAACCTAAAAGTGAGTCAAGTTTTCGAATGGATTCAATGACTGTGATTCCTTAATGCAGTTGTAATTTTGAATCCAATGGTTGAGATAGTTTATGGGTAAGCTGGTTGTATATATAGTGGATAGCTAGCAGGGTGATGCTGTAGGGCCTTTCCATGGAGAAAACGTTTTAGGTATACCATGTTCGGGCTCCAGAGCTCATAGAGCAATGACGCCCTTTTTTAAATGTACTTTGAAGACATCGAATACGGGCCTAGACCGGATCGCCGTATAGGTATGCTGAATGACTCGCTCGTTTCTTGAGCAGTCTGCCCTATCTTACTTATGCGTGGCAATACACACATCAATTCGTTGATTAAGTGACTACTGTTTTACGTGGTGTGAATTCTATTTATGACACGCCTGAACTTCGTACCCTCTGAACATATTCTATCACCTTTTCTGCCTGCTCGGTATATCCTCACCGAGACAATGCCCATTTGAACTATCATGATTGTAGTACTACCGACCTTAAGAAGAGGTTTCATATATTCGGCGACCATGTAGTAGCTTCTGCTTTTGTGATCTAGAGTAAGAGGCTCATAGCTAGCGAACAAGGTTCCACACATACAAGAAGAAACTGCGTGAATCGTCCAGAAACACGGATGTTTGACTATCACTTTAATTCAACTTCATCTATTCCGTTCCCTTTGTGACCATCTTTATAGTGCTTAGAAAGCACGATTTCTTTTCTACTTGCATCACAGTATGTTTCCATCTTGGTTTGATTGATAACTAAGCTTGGAATAAGAAGGTTAAGTGTTACAGAGCTTGATCGAGTACGGGGAGCGTTCGAAATATTCGCTTCGAGCGCAAGGTTCGAACTTTGTTCGAATGTGACATGAGAACAACCGACTGGCTTGAAGTTTGCCTGCAAGTATCTTATGTGATAAATGCAGCTCAAGAGCTGCACACCGTTAAGGTGCGACCAAAACAGTCAGAGCGCGTATTGAGACTTTGAATGTTTTTTTGGAATTTTTACTTTTTATAAAGGTCCGCATAGGCAAAGAAAAGATGCAATCGAGTAGCGAGAAGTGAGCTCAAGAGCACAACCCATAAGGAAGCAGTCTAGCGTCACCATAATGTGTTTGGTGTATCGTAAACTTTCTGCATTCATTCTGCTGTGTATCGGAGAAACAAAAGAAGCCAACAACGCAGTTTGACGGGAGACGAATCCAGAAATCAATGTTATCATGAGGACAGTCGATGGCGACTTTTTTGAACATGGTGTGACATTTGAACGATATTTAACCGTATAATTTGGCTTCGCCTCTCGCAACGTCAAAAAAATACATTGATAGTGGATTGCACTTATGGTGTTTTTTATTTTGGCTATGCTGGAAAGATTTGAGTTTCGTCGTGTCCAGTGGGCACAAAGTGTTTACTAACTACAACGTTTCATAGCAGAGAAAATGGACTTCTGTAAGACTTCTGCGCACGAAGACATTTTACCGCATTATTGTGCAGGTTCCGATCGCAGATTTGAAATTTTCACGACCCATGAGATCTCGATTACAATCGTGTGCCTCGAGAATTTTGGTCGATTAATACACCGTTCTACCGACTGAGATCAGTTGAAAAGAAAAATCCTTAATTGATGTGGTTTTGAACAGTTTCAGTCATATTGCAAACGCAACAAGGTTATCCGTGAGGAATCCAAATATATGTGTAGTAATTCTCCAATTTTCCTGAATTTTCCGCCCCGAAAAAAGAAATTTGGGTCTCTCAGCGCCTAGGGCGTTGCATGCAAATATGACAGCATCGCAAACCTCCATATCAACTGAAAACTTCGTTCTCGTTTTCGAAATGCCTGAATCGCGCTATAAACAAAGAGAGCATGGAATCCTGATCATTTTGATATCCTTTATGATACAATTCAAACACTTTCAACTGGAAGCAGTGGTGCAAGGCAATTTAAAACCTCTTTAGACGTTTGTTACTTCTTTCAGCCAAATATTCCGTATGAAGACCTTATGATAAATATGCCTGTAGGAGTCCAGACACTTCATGATTTTTTGATCTTCTTGAACTTCACAACATCGTTTTCATGGAGGTCAAAGAGTGAGTGTTCAGTATCTGAGGCGTATCCTGCAGATATAACATCATCATGAACTCTCACATCAACAAAAACTTCAGTCTGGATTTTTGCAAAGCATATTTGGCGTTATCTTTCAGGAAAGCATGAAATCGTGTTCGTCTTGATATTCTTGATGAAAGAATTTGATGATAGAAGTGATTTTTCAGTGATTAACTTCTGAAAATTTGCTCGTTTTTCCAAAAATACACTTCCTGTGGAACGACTAGTTTTGCACTTGTTTGAAGTCTTCAACTATGTGATATACTATTCTGATATTAGATTGATAATTGGCCCCTAACCAAACTTTAGGCAGTTGACCCATTGCCATCAATCTCTATTGGCCCATGGCCTTTGCTATTGCAGAGTCCATTCGAGAGCACGCTTGTTGACACATTGTTGTGCAACTGACAGAATTAACGATCACGCTATAATAATAAATACTGTTCGACTGTGTTACCAGGTCTACTTCAACTATCTTAAATCGCGTGCAATTTGAACTTGTGCTTGCTCAAAGCCGCCATCTTGATTTACCCACAGCTTTCCATTTGATAAAAACTGGGGGCACTGACACTAAGAACCGGCTGAATTAGCACAGAAAGGCCCCACTGCTTGCCAACGATGTGCACGACTGAGGTTCCACAGCTACGGAATCCAGGTCCTGTGCAAACATGAGACGCATCATTTCCTCCACGCACTTGGCCGGTTCGAAGAGAACATTCCAATCAACCGTTTACTAGGGTGGCCGCGGCAAGAGTAGGAGATGGCCGATCGGCTTATGGCGTGTCAGGTCATGTTACACACAATTTACTCACTAGTTTTATTAAAAACTCACATTGTGTTCAAAACATAAACACAGTTATATGTTATTGCAAGATGGACCAAATACATTCGATATTATCGACGACCTTACAGTTCTTAGGGTCAGTCTCAAGAAGGAAGTATTTTTATCATTCTTATCAACTGCATAGGACGCTTCTATTATATTATATTTCTTTTGATTTTGCTACAGAATGTATACGACTAGAGAACGTGCATCATACCTAATAAACTTTTTTCCGTTCGAGCCTTTTACTGACCGTTCCCTACACTATGAATTTCAGCTTGTAGCATAGTTTGCCCTGATAATTCGAATATAACTACAGTACAATACGTCTTCGCGTTGAATGCACCCATGTGGCTCGAGAAAACATGGCCTGACAGAATCAGTGAGTCCTAAGGAGATGCATAAAGAGGGGTCAAGTTACTTGCTCCACTGTCAACCATCAGTTAGGCGAACATATCACTATATACATACACATTCTACAATATATACAGTAGCGCTCAGAAGTATTTGGCCAAACGCTTCTTCAGTCGTAATTTCAGTCGTAACTGCTTTCTTACTGGATCTAATCATGCTAAATTTCAATATGTATAGCATGGGTGTAATGTGAATAATTACCACTATTAACCGTCAATCTGATCATGTTCCACATCTCCCAAAGAGCTTGAAAGCAAAAGCACCTGGAAACACAGACATTGGTGTTTCTAGGATTTCTTCCCTTTTGGCCATGTCCAAAGTGTATGAGCGCTAATGTCGAACACAGTAGAGAAAAAACCCACATAAGGCACGAATATTTGCAGATGTCACAAACTTGCTCTCAGCATAGTCTACAAACACCTTCCCCTTAGCTATGTAGACATTGCTTCTTTGCAGTCAAATAGTGTTGGATAGTGTGAAATATGGTTCTGTCAAACATATCGGAATTTCATGCGATTTGCTCCACTGAAAAAAAAGTTACAGCCGAAAGACTGCTTGGCCGAATATTTTTGAGCGCTACTGTATAATGCGCTAATACCCGCGAGTGGGTTTGTGTGTGGGTATGCGTGTGTGTGGACACGTGCCACTCGAGAACAAGCTGAAAAGTAGTAGAAACCAGCGGAAAACAGGTTCTGGACAGTCGTGAAAAAAGCCAAGGTTTCTTTTGATGAATGTTCCAAGTCAGTCGTAGACCTACTTGGAGCACTCGCTAAAACAACTTCCTGGCGTAAAAGTCGTGTTCCTTTTCGGTGGTCTTGGTGGGGCCATCAAAAACTACACGTCTTCCAGTACCTTGGGAGTGACAAAGCTCATGGTTGTAGCCTGATCCAAGCTGGAAACGCCACACCAAAAGTGGCACGGACGGAATCGAAGAAGCCTAGTAGCATTTTCTGTGACCATTGCTCTGCGGCAACGAGTGCTAGCGCATAAGCAGGTTTTATGAAAAGCAACTTCACTTCATTCGAATTAGGATGATGAAGTGCAACTTCACTCCGCTCAAACTAGGATGCTCAGGTGACAATTAGGACCTGATTGGACAAAGTGGGAAACGAGTACCTCAGAGCAGTCATGTTGACAGCCCTGTCGTGCTGAAGATGGGGAGCAGGATCAATGACACACACGTAAGGCCTTGAGATCACCGATAAAAAAGCATTGTCATTTGAAGGTCAACGGAAGTGTTCACGATGAGTTAGTGAGAAGAATAGCGTGTAGTGATCAAGGTGGACCTCGCTCGCTGAAGCTTAATTAAGGGCAGAAATGCCATAGATGAAAGAAAAGGGACAACTCTCAAGAACAGCGGACCGCGAAAACGCGTGATCGGGGTTGGGAAAAGAAGAAGTAACCCGAACGAATTTAATTACAAGTTGGTAATATCAGTTGTGGTAGTTAAAGGAAGTAGTTGCGTTTCACTTGCAGTCGATAATCCTACATAGTTTGGAAGTCTCCATTACACTCAAATCAGTACC